GTGGAATACCAGGCATTCTAGAACGAGAGGGACGGGGAGTGCTCGGCCTCGGAGTCCTAGGAGTTCATCAAAGCTAGAAACTCATGAAGTACAAAAACCAGAGCCCTTCTGGACAAAGAGGGACCAAGGGACCCACTCCTATTTTTGTGGCTTTTTTCTTGAATAGCTCAATTTAATTACTTAAGCGAAGCTACTCTTGTCCACACTTCAGTATCTGTCCCTCTCTGCCATCTCGGTTTTAATTTCACTTCAATAACTTTTTAATATAAAAAGTTACATAAGTCTCATACCTCAAATCTTAGGTAGGTAGTAAACTTTGTGTATACTTTTCCCTGTTCAACAAAAGTATATAACTTTCACAGAATTGTGATCACTAAGATACTGAGTTATATATACTGATATTTTAAAATAGGCCATTTCTGATTTTGAAGGGGTATAAGCCTATACTGTGAAAACTTGTGGCATACAGAGAAGCCTGAGAAATAAATTAAGAATCTTCCCAAGAGATAACATTTTAATGCATGTTATTAGTTTTTTGAAGGTAACTCAGCTCGGAATGCATGCACCCCGCTTGCCCCCACAGGTGTGGTCATGAGGATAGAAAGGGCCTAGAGGTAGCTTCAGTGATGAGTTGTTTATTAGGTCTTCCCCACCAAACACCACCATCCCCTGGAGTCCAACACACAACAGTCCAAGCTATTTCATTAAGTGTCAAGACCCATAAAAATCATCACCCAAGCTCTCTTTGGCCATAAAAACAGACATTGGAGGACCCTGTATAGTTCTGCTCCCACAGAGAACTGGTCGAAAGCAGTTCTCTCTCCACGCTGGGAGCCAGTGAGGGAGCACTTGGCACCAGCTGAGGTTTTCAGAATTGGGTCTCAAGATGACAGCAATTTGACAGCTGGGACATGAGACAACACAATGATGGCAGAGAGGGACAGCAGCAGAGTGAATGAGTCTCGATGACACTGGGACATGAGAACCACACTTCTGACATGGGGACACCAGAGGCTTTCTTCCAGAACTGGGAGAAATGAGGTTCCCAGGGAGCCCAGAGGACCAACCACCACCAGGGGGTGTGTGCTGAGGTCCCACAAAAGGGCAAGCCCTGTCCTTTTTATTTTTTTTTTTTTTTTAGTTGTAGTTGGACACAATACCTTTATTTTATTATTTTTCTGTGGTGCTGAGGATCAAACTGAGTGTCCCACACATGCGAGGTGAGCATTCTACGGCTGACCCACAACCCCAGCCCCACTCTATTTCTATTTAATTTTTACTTTATAAGACAAGGTCTCGCTGAGTTGCCCAGGCTGGCTTTGGACTACTCGTCTCCTCCTGCCTCAGTCACCTGCCCAGGTAGTGGAATCACCTTTCTGCAGCACCACGCCCAGCTTGCCCCTGACCTTCAGATGTTTGTCACGTGTCCCGTTTTGTTAACCCGTTTAAAATTACACCAGGGTAATTTTGGTGTGATTAGCAAAATGGTTGACAGCTCTGATATTTGAAAAAGAAAAAACAAACCATTAAGGATATCCAATGGCTCCTGACCCCTGCAGGCAGCGTGGGCAGGAAGAGCTGCCCACCCTGGCGGAGGCAGATCCTGCTCTGGGTCTCAGAGCCTCTACTCCACAGGCCTGGAAGAGCCAGTGCTCCCCTCCAAGGTCCAGGGAGAAGCAAATGAACTATTTAGCTGCAGTGCATGGACAGCTGAGTCTAGCGTGCAGCGATTGCCGGACACGACCACAGGTTATTGCTTATAAGGGACAAGAGCGTCCTCCCTGCCACTTGGGGCATCACTCTGTAGGGCCCTTGCTATGTAGGCGCCAGCCCTCCTCCAGCCGGGACCTGCCAACCTACTGTCACAGTTACTCAGCTTTCCCTCTAGGTGGAGGGCAGCGACTGTGCCTAGCTTCAGCCTTGAACCATGCCACCAGCCTGCAGGGACAGGAGACTGTCTGCATCCCAAAGGAGCTTACACCGCAAAGAAGACACATGTAACTAGGGACAAAAACGGCTGCATAAATTAGAAGAAGCACGGCAAATACAGTACAAGGTGACAGAGTAGCACCTCCATGAGGCGGTCACAGGGACCTGGTAGGAGGGAAGGTGTAAGGCACCAGCAGCCCCCAGGAGGCCGACTCCACTCTGCGGCCACCCTGCAGCCACCAAGCTCATCCTGCACACACACTCTGAAGGTGGCAGTCACCAGCTGGTACAGGAACTGTGGAGACAACAGCCAGGGCACGTTAAGTGCTGCCACCTCACGCAGCCTCAGACTAGAGGCCATGGTCTCAGCCTCCCACAAGTAGCCTGGGTGGGTGTTTTCGTTTAGTGCCTTTTTAAAATTTTTGCTGCCATCCTGATCTGACTCCCCAACCTCCAGAACCAGGAGAAATATATACATGTCTGTTGCTGAAGCCACGCACCCAGTCTGTGGTTCTTTTGTTACAGCAGCCAAACAAAGAGGTACTTGAAGGATGTAAAGAGAAAGGTTAGTTAACATTAAGATGAAGACTGCTATTTCGAGTCACAATTTCATGCTAAAATGTTAAACTACAAAGAATCAAGATTCAAAACTTACAATGATGTGGAGTCACGTCACTTATATAGCAGCCGGACCCAAGGATCAGTAAGAACAGCCTGGGCTGGGTAGGCTTGGGGGACCCATTCATCCCTTTTCTCTTTGGCAGACAGAACAAAATAATGAGACTGGGGCATCTTTACAGCTCATTCCCTGATGCTCTAGTTTGGATCTGAGATGTCCCCCCAAAGACCTGTGTGTTAAAGTTTTGATCATGAAGGGGCGCTATTGGGAGACAGTGGAAATATAGGAGGTGCCTCCTAGCGGGAGATCCCAGGCCCTGGGAGTGCTCCTTCATGGGGGGCTGTAGGTCTCCAGTCCCCTCCTGGCTGTAGGTCTCCAGTCCCCTCCTGGCTGTGTCTCCTCACCAAGCTCTGCTACTCTCTACACTGGGATGGCTACCTCAGCAAAAGCAACAGGCTGAAACCCCTTTTCTGTGTGATTTTATAGGTATGTATAATAGCTGTGGAAGACAGATGAGCAGCACCAAAAAAATAAAAACAGCCCAGTTGGTCACGGTGATGCACACCTATAATCCCAGCTACTCAGAAGACTAAGGCAAGAGTATTGCAAGTTTGAGGCCAGCCTGGGCATTTAATGAGACCCTATGTCAAAAGAAAATCAGCCGGGCACACCTGTAATACCAGCGACTCAGGAGGCGGACACAGGGGATTGTGAGCGCAAAGCCAGCCTCAGCAATGACGAGGTGCCAAGCAACTCAGCGAAACCCTGTTTCTAAATAAAATACAAAATTGGGCTGGGGATGTGGCTTAGTGGTCAGATGCCCCCAAGTTCAATCCCTGGTACCAAAAAAATAATAACCCCCCAAAACACTACACACACATGGCCCAGAGGTTCCAGCAACATCTAAGCTCAGGCCCCTTCCTGAAGACACTGACACCCCTGCAGGTTCCACAGCCTGAAGTACTCACCCATGTAGGCCCAACCAGGGCACAAGGTACCAAGTGTCTCAGCAGGGGCAGGAGTGAGGTGCCCAGAAGCAGGCTGGACCCTGGACACCAGCCTAGCTGGGTATCAGAATGAGTCATTAACTGATCTGAGACTCAAGGGAGTGAGGGCCCCAGGGAGATAGAAGAGGAACTGTGAACCCAAGGAACAGATGCCCACAGAAGCAGGAAACAGCAGGGTTCCAGTCCTGGAGGTTCAGGGCTCAAGGATTTGGTATAGAATCCACAGGACTGTGGGCAGGAGAGATGGCCATGTCTGCCTTCCCCCTCGCCTGTGCCTGAAGGTCATGGTAGAGAGAGGAGGAACAGGCAGCAAGACTGTCACAGCCAAGGTACTGGCTGTCCTGGCCTTGTGAAGGGTGCAGACACAGCCAGCAGCTGCTAGCAGAGCGAGCCTGGGTGGAGAGGGCCAGGGCAGACCACCAGCAGAGCAGGGCAGGGAACCGGGAGGAGCTGGGGCTTCATCAGAGAAGGCGGCATGGACTTCTGCTGGGCGGAGTCTGGCATGTCTGTGGGACACTCTAGGAAGGCTCAGCAGGTGACCTGCAGCCAGGAGAGATGCCAGCTGGACAAGAAGCTTCAGAGTCATGCTGGCAGAGAACCCGTGGTGCCGAGTCCTCCAACACCGTACGAAGGACCGAGGGCATCTGAGAGAAGAGTGACCCCCAGGCTCAGGGCAGAGAGTCAGCAGACGCAAGGTGTTGGTGCAGGCTGGCCTGGGCCCCGGAGCACGTAAGGCCTCACAGGGCTGCTGGTGGGCAGGGCGACAGAGCCCACTCATCCTGAAAGGGAAGAAGGGCCACAGGCAGACAGAGCTAAGGGCAGGGCAGGGCACCTGGTTCCCCGGGTCTGTGGGTTTTAGTGGACAGCTTATGGTAAAACAGACATGAAGAGCTGAAGGTGTCGGAGCAGAGAGCAGCAAGGTTGGTGGCAGCTCAGCAAGCCCTGCCCCAGTAGGACAGGAGGCAGCTCGGGACACCGCCATTTTTGTAGGAGGCTCAGATCACAGGCATCAAAGTGAACTTCACCTGCAAACCCACCACACTGTCCGGGCCCTCCCCACTCCCTCCAGCCTTTCCTACAGGGAACAGTAGGCATAACACTGGGTCCCCTGGTCATTAAGGGCCACTGTGGATGGACTGCACCCTGCTGGCTGTTCTGTGGACTGCCCAAGATGCACCAGGCCCCCAAAGGCCACAGAGAAGGGGAACTCTCCTCAGGTAAACAAAGATATTCAATTAAAATTAAAAAATCCTGGGCCTCCCACTCGGACACTGGGCTGAGGAGTAAAATTGCCCCTGCGGGCCCAACTGGTGTCATCTGATCATCAGCTGCCACGAAATCGTGTCTCCCACCCCTCGGGACAGGGATGCTGCAAAGTCCAAGCTCCCGGCTACATGCACGCTTTATTTTTTCTAGAAAAAACATCTAGAGTTGAAGGCGGCTTTGCTGAATTGAAGTTCAAGGCTGAGCAGAACCCCACTCTGGGGGAAGCGACTGGGAGCTGGTGGGCAGGGAGCACCACAGAGAAAAGCATTGGTCACACTGACCGACCCAAGGTGCGTTCCAGGGCTGGGGGTAATCTTGTCTCCAAAATGAGTATCTTAATGATTTAAAAAGTTGATCCAAAGTGTCACCAGCACATTACATTGACCCTGCCAAGCTTATTTTTCCCCCTTTGTGATTAGCTTAATCACAAAAGAAAAAAAAAAAGCTTATTCTTCCAGCAACCTGTTGGCCGTTAATTTTTCTCCCAGGGAAATCAGCCTGGTTCACCTGGTGTGCAGCTGTCATGTCTGCTCTAGACAGCCCAGGGTGCTGGCTTAAATCCCCAGCAGCTGTGACGGCTCCCAGTCATTTCCAGAAAGGAAGGACAGCTTTTGCCACAAAGAAATCTTTGCATATAGCACATTTATCACTACAGTATTTACAGAATTTCACATTCAAAACATAACAAAATTTCTAGTAAGGACAATACAATCCACCTGCAAAGAGAATATGATTTACACATATTAACACACACACACACGCCCCAGGAAAGCCTGGCGACAGAACACAGGCCAAGAGGCTTGCAGCACTCAGGATCTGGATCTTCCCAGGAGAAACGCCAGCAGAGCCCAGGTAGTGACCACTCCACAGACTCTGTAAGACAAGGACTTGGGTCAGAAGCCTGGTTCTTCTGTGACATTGGCAGGTCTCAAAGTAGCAGGCAGACTCCCCCTTCTTCCCGCCAACCCCAGACGTCCTTCCTTCCTGGTGCCAACACTGAGCTGCTTGCTCTCTCTCAGGGTCCATGGCTCTGGGATACAAATAGTTCACCTTCCCTAGTGATTTAGATCAGAGGTTGGCAGGAGGACAAAGGGCTGTTTGGGAGGCTACCATTTCTCTTCTGCAGTGCTGTCCACTACAGACCCAGCTCCTATATAGCACACCAGAATCCTCGTAAAACTTCAGTAACTGCAAGTCTGTCTTTCGAGGGCGAATCTTGACTGTGCATGTTATGGGCCAGGCTATATAGGCAATAACCAAACAGACTCCATTTTACCCTGAGACTCCATGTCATGTAAGAAATGCTTCTGCCATGGGAAGGCCCCACCCCTGTACCCATTACTTAGCATAACATACTTGACAACACAAAACAGCAATTCTTATACAATGTCAAATTATTCTCTTTGGTTTCCATTTTTCCTGGGCAATCTACAGAGATTGATTGTCTAAACATTAGTAACCATTCTCTAATGCGTACTGAAATAGGGTCATTTTGATCCCCTTCACTTCTGCTTGCCTGCTGCTATACCAACCTGAAAAGTCCCATGAGCATTACCAATGTACCCATTGAATTGTCTCGCTAACTGCCCAATTCAGCTTCTGTGCCTGCTTGCTTGCAGTTATGTCAACCCGGATATGATTTTTGCCTTTAAATATCCTAAAACACTCAGCCTTGGGGCTGTTCCTTGCAGAGACAGTTATAACCCCTCCTGTGGGGGGCAGTCACCAGCCGGCCGGCTAAATACTCTTCAATCTGGACAAAACGGGGACTTGGTGTGTTTTCTGAGAAACCTGCCTCACAACAGTGCACACAGCTCTTCTTGGTTCTGCCACTGGCTCCTTCTCTGTCCCCACTATCACCAGGCTGGGCCATACCACAGACACATTGGCCTCCTGGTGCCTCTACCCTCCGCCTCCTCTCTAGCCTACCTCAGCAGAGAGGACAGTTGGATGGTGCCCTTCCTCTGCCCAAACCCCAAGTGATCCTCAATTCCTCCAAGTGGCCCTTACTATGCCCACTCAGACAGGACCCAGTTCCTCCTTGCCTCGTCCATCCTCGTTTGCCTATGTCAGCTCACAGTGGCTTCATCGGCCCTCAGTGAGGTGCCTCCCCAACTCAAGGACCCTGCCCTGCACTGTCCTGAGCAGCCCCCTGGCTCACCCTGACATCCTCGAGTTTTTAACACGACCCATCCTCCATCATCTCCTTTGAACAGTACCCCTCAGACCTGCCAGACCCGCTCTTCTCTCATTTTTAATAAGCACTTGCCAACTGACACATCACAAGGTCCTCTGGTTAGTACACTCACTGATTACTGCCCTTTAGTACGGAGCTCTGCGAGAGCAGGGCTTTTGTTTTACCCACTCACGAAGCCCTAGGACCAACAGTGCCCAACACTGCAGATGCTCCAGCACCTGTAGAACACCAAGTGACCCACAGTTCACTGCACTTGTCAGCAACTCCCTAACGGCCCTCACCAGTGAGCGAGCTGAGCTGAGTCAGACCCAATGGGGCCACAGGCAGAAAAGCAGCCTCCAGCCTGCCACTTACTGTAACACGCAGTTGATGTTGGGGGAATGTCTCCAGTACCGGTATAGGGAGACCTGCAGGGTCGGGTGGCACCTGTACTCCTTCAGGATACTGCGGGCACTGCCAAAAGAAGTTTGCCAAGGTCAGCCACACTGTGCGGCCACAGGGACTGCTCTTAGGCCCGAAGCAGGGGGAGGCAAAAAGGATGACATGGGGAGAGAGGAAGGACTTGGGGCCTGGGCACCTACTCCTTAAACTTATTGGTCAGGAGCAGGAACTGGCTTCGAGTGAGTCGCCTGACATCGAACTTGCAGAGATTCTGGAACTCACGGTAGACTTGCTGCTCACTGGCCCCGGGCCATCTCCTAACAGTGAGGATGAGGATGGGAGGCCGGACACTGGGATAATCTGGGCCAGAAAAATTCTAAGAAACATGAAGAACAAAAGATTTCCCACAATTTTTGCTGACATCTTATGCAATTAGATAATGTTTGAAGGGACTAGGAAAGACTGTTTGGGGCTGGGAGCAGGCAAAGAGAAGGATGGGTGGAGCGAGAACACGTGGGTTTGGGCAGAAAAACACAAGAAACAAGCAGCTTCACAGGGGTGTAAATGCCCTGTCCAGCTCTCGCACCCCTTCAGCCCAGCGACACCAGGCCACCTCCACAGGGAGTCTCTGAGCAAGGTAAGGGAGCAAAATGAAACCTACTCACGATTTTAGGGACCCCAGCTCGGATAAGATTGACTTGGTTCACGTAAGGAGCCAGCACGTTGAGGTACTGAGGGAAAGATGGCTCAGGCATGGGTCCGCTGCTGCACGGACAGAGAAGCCAAAGCGCTCAGGAATGCACTTATCCACTGTCCTCGCCATAGCCAAGGATCTGGCGACACAGGGAAACGGCTGCCTTGGGCAATTCTCCACCCCCAAGACTCGTGCCCATGTCAGTGGGCTTCCCAACTGGCTGATTTGAAAGAGCCCTCTCCAGAAAGAGCGGAGCTTCTGGAGGGTCACCCTCTGTGACAGTTTTGTGACGCTCTCTGACCAGCACTGGAGGCAGGCTCAGAGAGCGAGAAGCCTGTGAGGGGGCTCCACTTCATCATTCCTCAGCACGACTCTACTTGACCCCAAATGGCCATCCCTCGCCTGACTTTACTGGACCATCAGCCCCACCCTTCCAGGGACTAGCCCTTGTGGCAGGCCCTGGGGGAGCACTGGTCGGGAACCAGGCAGGACAGCCAGAGGCTTCTCTAGATAGAGGAGAGCTTTCAGCTGAATTGAAAGGTGCCCGCCCTTCTGCTGGAAGCTTCTTCCTGCCCAGCACACACCATCTGCCAGTGGGCACTTGGGCACTCAGACATTGCCAAACTACAGGAAGGAGGAAGGTGGGCTGGTGGAATTTTTCCCCCTGTGGAGGTGGGGAGGAGGAGGGCCTTTCTAATTTTTAGAAAAAGAAAAAAAAATTTCAGAAAAAATTCTTTGATGCATTACGAGACTCCAGACTGGTAGATTTCTCATTTAAGTTATAAAACTCACATCAACATGACATAGAACATTTGTATTTATCACATCCATTGCCAAAACTGGACAAGTATAGGTAGTTCACAGAGCACAGATCAAAGTTGCCTTGCTAAGTTAGTCCTGAGGAGCAGGCCAGAGTCTGATTAGCTCCTTCGCTGGGCCTGCCAAGTCCTAGAGCAAGGGTCCCCAGCCTGGGTCTATGGAAGGCACATGTACAGCATGCACTTGGTGCCCGTGTTGTGCCCAGTGCTGGAGGCATGGGGGATGCTGCTGTCACAGGAAACACATTCAAAATTCCAATTTGGAGTTTCATGGGGTAACAGCAAACACACCAAGCTGGGAAGCACTGAAGCAGACAACAGAACCCAAGTCAAACCCTTGGTCCCCGGACATTACTTCTCCCAGTGCCAAGAGTGGGGCAGGAGCAGCCCCACCCAGGCAGGAGGCAGGGGTGGCAGGAAAGGGCTTCTGTGAAGCAAGGCCACTGTGTTGGCTGCCACACAGGCAGAGGCTGGATGTCTACTCTCCCAGGGCTGCAGTATTCATCCTCTTTGGGGGCCCTGGGACGTCTTGGTTTCCTGACTGCTGAGTGACTGGAGGGAAAGAACACTCACCTGTGCACCCTCTGAAGGAGCAGGTGAGCCACTTTCAGAAGAACTGGAAAAAAGAAAAAAAAAAAAAAAAAGCTAGAGATGTCACAGGCCTTCTTGAAATATGCAAACTCACACTTTCTATGCAAACCAGCATGATATAAACGAGAACCTAGGGAGGGCACCCACCAAGGCCAGTCTCCCTGGAAGGACGGCAACTCTTACCTGACCCACAAAGAAAGGCATCATATGCTGCTTCATGGGGGCACTTGTTCTGGGCTGAAGCATTTTTCCATAATAAGGAGAGAGATCAAGTAAACCATTAGCAATGCACTTAGGAAAGAAGTCTCTCCACCCCCACCACCCTCACATCCACAGCAACCACAGCATGCTCGACCACCAGCTACCATGGGTGCCTTCTCCCAGCTCACAAGCCAGCTTCCCTCTGGTCCTCCCCGCATGGACAAAGCCAGGAGCCCACGACAAGGGGGAAACAGACAGCCCTGAGGCTTTCTGGGATCACACATCTTGAGGGCAGGAGTTATGCAGAGCAGGACAGGAAGACAGAGAAGGAAACCCTGAACTCCACAGCCTCCAGCCTGGGAGACCAAGGTCCAGGAAAAGCCTCAGCTCTGCCCACAGCACTCCTGTGCAAGGAGCTGGGGCTCGTGGGAACATACCATATTTTTCACATTTGCTCGCATGAACAATCACTGGTCCAGAATTCTTGGTGGGATTCAAGTTACTATTAGAGAATTAAAAATAGGATAAAGAACAACTTGCTGAAAATTCTTTCTTGTTCCCCCAAGTCCCTGACATTATAAATGTGTCTTCAACACGTGTCTTAAACATAGGTCTAGTCATATACAAATAAGGTCTTGGTAACTAGGCAACAGGACAGGTGACAGATCAGCAGTGTTAGAGGCTCCAACTGGATCATCCTTGGCATTCAGGAAACGCTTAGCCTGAACCCAGCCCAGAGAAACAGAGGAGCCATCTCTGCCCTCTGGAGCTTGCCATCTAGTGGCCTGAGTGACGAGTACAGAGACAATCACGTCTTCCCCCCATAAAGGCAATGCCGAGGAGTAGACGGTGCACTCTGGGCCACTTTGGCCTAGAGGCATTAGGAAGGCAGTGGTGCAGGAGAGAGGAGGCAGAGCCAGGGGCACAGAACCAGGACACACTGCGCAAAGTGTGGCCAAGGCCCACAGTGGAGGCAGGGCCAGGCAGAGAAGGAGCTCAATGACACGTGGGGGCCTCAGGGAGTGCCAGAGACTCAGCCACGAACAGAACTCAACCTGTGATTTTAAAGACCACGCAAGTGGCGGTATGGGAAATGAAGTGGGGCAGGCCACAGGCTGGGATACCAGTGAGGGCTACCACCACAATTAGAATGGAAAATAAAGGCCTGAACAACAGCAGTGACCCCGAGAATGAAGAAGGGGAGACTTTAAGAAGATTTATGGAGCAACATCAACTAGACTTGGCTGATAAGACACAGGCGGCCCAGCTCTGGGACACTCGGCTCTGGGGTGTGAAAGCAGCGACAGCATCCAACAGTGAGGAAACCATCCCACCCATCTTTCAGAATCTGTGTGCTTCCTCTCTCTGAGCCCAACTTCCTTGCCTGTAAGGCAGGCATGGCGACCATGCCCACACTACAGGATTAGACAGACCGTCAACAATGATGGACAGCATTTAAGAAACATGGAGTGAGGGCGAACCAGTGTCCTAGTCCCTGTGGTGGATAAGCTCATTTAATCCTCACAAAGACCTTATGAGGTGAAACTAAGGCACAGGGAGATTCAACAATTTTCTGCAGGTAACTTGCAAAAACCAGTGAGGCTGGTTAAACTGGGATTTAAGCCAAGGAAGACTAGAACCAGAGCCTGTGTATTAGAAGACAAAACAAAACCCTCTCTGGTCCCACCTCTTCACACAGGCTCCCAGTATCATGTCTGGTGCTACAAAGACAGCAGATACCCAGGCACAGGGATGAGATGGAGGAACTGAGATCAATGTGAAATCGAAGGTGCTGCAGGTCAAGAAGGCAGCTGGTACATGAAGTGCCCCAAGGCTGAGGAGGTCCAGACCACAGTGCACCCAGGTGGCAGCAGCTGCAGAAAGGGAGTAGGTGAGGCCCCCCTGGGACTGAGCAAGAGGAGATGGAGCCCATGAAATGAACTGAGTAATGCTCATGGAAAGGGTGAAAAATCCACATGCACCCATACGTCCACCCCTGCACATGTGCACCCACCCCAGCCAGAAAAGAGAATCCAGGAGGGGATATGAGCCAGAAGAAGGAGGGAGAGGACAAGGGTCTCAAATGCCCCAGTGAAGCAAAAACCTGTCCAGGACTATATGCCACGTCTTGTCCCTTACGTACACCATTCTACCATCTTAGACCAGAGGCGAGCCTGCCCTGGTAGGCTAAGCCAGCGCAGGGTAAGGCGTCATGTGAGAGAACCCCTGACAGCACTGGACAGAGGGAAGGTGGAGGCCTCTGAAGGGACTCGCTGCACAGAAAACAGGTGCCACATCTCTTGAGTAACACGGGTGCGCTGCAGGCGGCCCCCCAGCACTGACTCTCCTAGAGTGAAGAGGTGACGACCCTCCCACTCCACCTGCCCCATCCCATGTTTTCCACTACAGGCATGGAGGGCACCATGCAGTCACAACAATAGCCAAACAAAAGGGATTCTGTTTGATTTTGAGTTTTAAGTGCTAATGCCGAGAGAAACCAGAGAAACCGAGGGAGAGGCTAAAGGGAAGGACAGGTGAGCGGGAGGCTGCAGAGAGGACGGAACCAGAAGGGCAGAGGGCCACTGCGGGGAAGCAAGCCCCGGCTGCCCGGCACACATGGAAGGGCTTGGGTCTGCTGGTGACGATAGACGTGAGAAAGATGGCAAAACAAAAGTGCTCCCGAGGGCAGGCAGGGGCTGAGGGCTTTCTTCCCATCTTTGGCCTTATTCTTGGAAACGGGGGCCAAGAGGGCTGCAGAGACGGGCTGAGGCAGCAGGACCTGGAGGGGACACCAGCTCCAGGAAGCGGTGCCGTGGCGGGGAAGAGCACCCACCAGACCCGAGGGATCTTGAGCCACACAGCAGCTGCAGCCACAGGCCCCCTGCCCCAGAACCAGCTCCAGAAGCGCCCCTCACCTGCTCAGCACTTCGTACACCTCCGAGAGATTGGAGACCCGTGGGAAATGCAGTTCCTGCAATTGTGGAGAACAAATCAGCGAGAAAAAGAACACTGTGCTGTCGTCCATCTGCTTCAGGTCTTGTCCAGTAGCCGCCGAAGTGTCCTAGAGAACCCCACGCCCACCACCTCTTCCTTCTCCTCCAGCGTCCCGACTGCCTTTACTCCTCAAGTGCAGGGCCAGGGACCCAGATCCTGGGGTTCCCCAGAGGGCTTCCCACAGTCCAGGCTGGGAACGACTGCCCACCACCACCTCACACCACCTCCCTCCGCAGATGAGCATAGGGGTCTAGAAATACGGAACCCGAGGCGCTCCAAGGAGGCCTGGACACTTGTGGAATACCAGGCATTCTAGAACGAGAGGGACGGGGAGTGCTCGGCCTCGGAGTCCTAGGAGTTCATCAAAGCTAGAAACCCATGAAGTACAAAAACCAGAGCCTTTCTGGACAAAGAGGGACCAAGGGACCCACTCCTATTTTTGTGGCTTTTTTTCTTGAATGGCTCAATCTATCACCCTAAGGCTTGATTCCCCCCCCCCCCATAAAGTGCAACTGAACCCAGGGGGGCTTTACCGATTACACTCACAGACCTGTTATTATTTGAGATGGGTCCCAAGTTGCTTAGGCTGCCTTAAATTTACAATCCTCCTGCCTCAGCCTTTTGAGTCACTGGGATCAGGGTATATGCCACCACGCCTGGGCCTTTTTGTTTTTGAGGTAGGGTCTCACTCAGTTTGCCCAGACTGGCCTTGAACTTCCGATCCTCCTGCCTCAGCTTTCACCACACCTGGAACCTAAGGCTTCAAGACACCGATCCAATCCCCTTTCTCTGGTCCCCGATTTCTAAGAAGCCTTTAAAACAGTTGGGCCCTTCCATTTCCCGTGTGTAGAGGACAACAACCCAGACTACATGACAGTCACCTGGGGAGCTTTCAAAACAGCCTGGCCCCATTGCAGACCACACAGGAAGCTAACAGGGGCTGGAGGCAGTTTGTGACTAACCTAGTGATTCCAACTCACTGTCCCCAGAGAAGCCATGATCTCGCACTTAGCAAAGATGGTTTCTCAAGACTTTGAGAGGGGACCCTTCTACCCTCATGTACTTTGATCATGTTGTAAATGTTTATGAAAAATAGATCAGGTTCTGAATCAAATCATTGCACTGTCCACTCTAACACATCCCAATTATATACAAATGAGTCAAAACCTGGGAGCTTGAATGGGGGAAGGAAAGAAATGACAACTAGTGTGATGAACAACCATAGGTGACAAAATATGAAAGGAAACGGATACCGATTTTTACCGATTTTATAAGAGTTCAAGGAGAGTTTTTGAAAAGTGTTATTAGTGTGGACACAATTATCTTTTAATCAAGCAATTTCATTCATTACCTTCCAGATATCCTTTGTCACATTCTTGGTATCAATGAGAACAGGAAACAGGTCATGGATATTCTGCTTAAACTGATCATAGCTTTCTGAGGGGAAAGATCCAGGGAGTGAGTTTGTTGGTAAAATGGGAAGGAACCACCATCTAACCTAGCTTGCCACCAACGCCAACTAGTAAAGCAAATGAAACAAAATAGAAATTGAAAACCACCTTATTTCTGACCATTGAGGATTTTTTAATCTCAAGCTACCCTCACCACTTACAGGTGTAAAGAACAAGAGGTTCTAAACTCAAGATATCCTCTAATGCAGTTTAAGAAGCTCTAGCCAATGGGATAAGAGAGGGAGAAATGGTGTTTTGGAAAGGCAGATAAAAGAAAAATCATTTATAAATGACTGTTCAGAGAATATCCAAGAAAAATCAACTAAAAGTCATTTGATGAGAAGTATACTGATAAAGGGGGAAAAACTATTAACTGACAAATTCAAAGTTATACCTGTATGTAGTTTAAAAGAGGTTTAGTGCAAACAAACCAAACCCACAACACAGACCTCCCAAACGAGGGGCCCTGTAGCCCTCTTCCTGCCACCATATCCCCTAGTCCACAGGGCAGCCACTTCAGTCCTCCTCCCTCAGGTCTCATGCCCCTGTCTCCACAGGACTCCTACGTGCCGTGATGGGGCACCTGCGGCTGATCACCGCTTCCAGCTGTCCCCACCCCATAGCACAAACTCCCCACAGGCCTGCCTGCACCACCCTGGGGCGCCCTCACGAGGGGTGCTGTGGCAGCCAGGTGCCTCTTCTTTTCCTGCACTGTCTCCCTGCTGTGAATACTCTGTCCCACAGTTTGCTCAGGTTTTTGTTGAGTGTACACTGTTAATTTTACCCCTAATCCTCCTCTAATTCTCTCAATATGCTCAGATCAACTACGGAAAGGTGACACAGCCACAAGACAGCATCACATGACATTAAAAATGTCATGCAATAGGTTTAGTAGGTTTTTAATGACATAATACTTCCAAATACAAAACCAAATGTATATGATTAAATATGATTTCTGATTTTGCCAAATTTTACACAATGGGCCTGAGCATCTTCAGGAATAGAGGAAGGATACCAATGCAAATTTAGGTTTTTCTTCCTTGAGGAAGTCTCTGGTCTTGTCTCTGAGAAGATGGTAACAGATCTGAGGACTGGACCCTGCTGCACCTCTGTTGACACTGGGAAGTACAGGCCAGGTGGCAAATAGAGATACAGGAAGGAGATGACAAGTCTGTCCCTACCTGGGAGAGGTCTGAAGAACTTCTCATGGAGATGCAACAGATCCATCATCATATTATGCCCCACTAAGGGCTACTTGGAGTAGATCAGCAGGTGAGAGAAATGAAATTTTAAAAATTATAAAAGACACCAAAGACTAAGATTCTTGTGAAGGATGCATCTTTGGAACCCACTGCCATTGTTGTCACGGGACTGTTTCATCCTCTCTGTCTTATGTGAGGGAGTGGGACTGCTTGGGGGAGGTCAGTGGAGGGTGGGGCAGGACAGACTCAAGGAAGGACTTAAGCAGGGTTCCCTGCTGTGAAGCAGACAGCTCTTTCAAGAAACTTTAGGTAATTACTGGAATCCCTGTATTACAGGAAGAGGCAAAAAAAAAAAAAAAAAAGTGATTTCTTGTGGAGAGCCTTTCCCCACACTAACCCATCACGATTTGGTTAGGTCAAGGAAGCCAGTTATCAAGGAGAAGAAAGGACTCGTCTTAAGAAATCAGATTTTACTGTTGAAGAATCCTTCAACATCTGGGCCAGAAATACAGAAGACTGTGAAAGTCCAAGAAAAGAGATTTTTTCCCTACCTTCTGGGCTTTCACCAGCATCTGGAAAAAAACAGAAAAACCCCTCGCAGAGAGGAGAATCTGCTCCTTCCAACAACTGGCTCGATCACAAGAGGCGTTCTCAAGATACCAGCGATGCTGCCGACTCACCTTCTTCACCACCACCTGACATGAAAAATAGACAAATAACAAAGCAGGGGACAAGCCTTTTAGAGAGGCTGGATTTGGGTGGGTGAGAGAGGCAATGAAGCCACTAAGGACAGCCCATTTCAAGGGAGGACTCACGCCCTGATCTTTCAGCATCGTCCAGATATTGGGGAGGGCCTGCCTCAGCACCAATTGGACCTCAAAGGCCTGGAACCCTGTGGGGCAAACACAAGGCACGACTGAGTGGCACAGCCCTTCCTCTTCAAGAGCCCCAAGAAGACGGGCTGGGGTGGTGGCTCAGTGCAGAGCACTTGCGTAGCATGTGTGAGGCCCTGGGTTCAATCCTAAGCACCAGATATAAATAAAGGTACTGTGTCCGTCTACAACTTAAAAAAAAAAAAAAAAAAAAAAGAGCCCCAAGAAGAAAAGAAATGCAGAGATTGGAGCTGTGGATCACAGCAAAAGGCAGGTCGTAGAGGTGTCTAAGCTCACCAGCCACATGACAGAGCATGCAGGGCCTGTGGTGACATTCTAGGGCAGCATTTTCAAAGTTTTTGACCTCAAAGATGATTTTAAGTTGGAGACACCAAAGTTTGTTTTTGTTGGATACAGCCACTGATGTTAACTATTTTAGAAATTAAAACCTTCAAATCAAAAAAACATGGAATCTTCTTCTAAAACAAACAAAAAACCCCATATACAATAACAAAAGTAAAATTCATAAAAAGAACTACTTTACAAGACAAAAAACATCATGATATATTATTTTACATTTTTGCAAACTTTAATATTTGGCTGCAATTGTATCTGCTTTTGCACTCATGATGTGTTACTGAAATGTGACAAAATCCCAGTCTCTGACACAATGAAGTATTACCAGCCTTGTCAGATGACTCTGGGTGTTCTATAACACAAAGTAAGATTTTGGCATGTGGTAACTTCTTAAAACCTCAGCTGTCACAAAGAATCTGAAACCACTGTTAATGGACTTTCTAGCACTATTACTTTAAAATCCTCTGGCCTATTTCACACCTTGAATGCATTTAAAAAAAAATTTTTTTTAGTTGTAAGTAAATAATACCTTCATTTATTTTTATGGTGCCAAAGATCAAACCCAGTGCCTCACATGTGCTAGGCAAGTGCTCTACCACTGAGCCACAACTTTAGCCCCTGGAATGCATTTTTTATTCATGATTTTGTAACATCATGCATTGGTTATTTGGAAACACTAGTTTGCAGAGTCATGTAGATCCTCCAAATATTCACACATTTCACTAACAATAACCACAAAAGATACCTGTATAACTGACTATCTGACCACTATTCTTATCAGAAAGGTCTGTGTTGGGAAGCTGTCAAGCTTATGGTAGCAGATGCAAGTTCAAAACTTGGTTATCTTTCATAACTACTGTTATTACTATGCATTATTTTCCCTAAAGGGTCAGGCTTACTTTTTCCATTTGGAAAATAAATGCAAAATCCCAAGTTCAAACAGTCAGATCTTTCTAGAAAGAAAATGATATTCACTTGGGGGCGGGGTGCAGATCCAGCTCTTTATTAAAAAAAAACAAAACAAAAACAAAAACAAAAAAAAAACACCCACACTCAAATGCTCTTCAAATGTTCTTCCTTCGCCCCACCACTGGGTGGGGGTATGCACCAGCACAGCTGCAGAGTGCTTTTCTGCATGCTATGTTCACATAGGATACTTACAGATGACCTAAAAAAAGGCTGAGACTTAGTTAGCACTCATACCACTTCCTCACCAAGCAGCTCCTTAAGCCAAATCGGCTTTTTGCACTGAGAGCAAGTGGCAGTAAAGAAAGCATGATGTGGGGCTCCTGCCTTAATCTGTGCTGAGGTGCTGGCAGGTGTAACCCCCACTGCTATGGCACCAGGGGAAAAAATGGTACAAAAACAGCAAGTCATAGTCAAGTGATATACTTTGATATAGAGCACTCAGGATAGGATGAACAAGATGGCTCTGAAACGTGACTTCCTTGGCCTTGAAATTCAATGTTGGTTGAAAAGCTTTCCGACTTTCTGATTTCTGAATTCTGAAGCTTTATCTGACCCCAAGGACTGGGCACCTACTAAGTAAATGCATTAGACTCAGTTGAGAGGCATTTGGGACCAGGATCTTTGGGAAAGAGAATGGGTCCCCCAACTCCTGTCACGTAACCATGACCCAACACTCCCAGTATGGAAGGAGCAGCCTCTTGCCTACCAGCAATACCAGGCAGAGTTATCCGGTCACCTTCCTCAGCTAGGTCCAGCCATCGTGTCACCTCATCAATCACCACTTTGATTTGGTCTTTATCCAGAGAGCTGAAAATGGGCACATGAAAATGCAAATGTTGGAGAAAACCATGCCAGAATCACAAGACTACGCTAACAAGAGGTTTCAGGAGCTCCTGGTTTTCACATCATGAGCTCACGAAGAAAACAGATGAGCTGGATGCAGTTGATTGATTGAGCCTACAAACCCAGCAGCTTGGGAGGCTAGAGCAGGAGGATCATGAGTTCAAAGCCTCAGCGATTTGGCAAGGCCCCATCCCTAAATAAAATATAAAAAAGGGCTGGGGGGGGGGGGTGCTGGGGTTGTGGCTCAGAGGTAGAATGCTCGCCTAGCATGTGCGAGGCCCTGGGTTTGATTCTCAACACCACATAAAAACTAAAGTACAAGTACTGTGTCCAACTACAACTAAATAAATAGTGTAAAAAAAAAAAAAAAAAAGGGGTGGGATGTGGCTCAGTGGTTAAGTGCCCCCGAGTTTGATCCCCAGTACCAAACAACAACAAAAGACCAAAACAAGATCACTGTTCTTCCATCTTTTCATACAGAAGGCAGGCAACTTCCTGGCCTTCGTTCTTCACAGGTTCCTAGAGCTCATGTGATCCCCACCTGTCACACTAGGAAAGGAAGTGGCTCTAACCAGCACTAAAGGCCACTGTCAGGACTGTCTTCTTTGTAAGGCTTCCAGAGGCAGGAACACCCGCTGGGAGCATAAGGAAAAGGAGGACTTTGGCAAACCCTCGGCTCCTTGTTAGAAATGTAAGGACATAGTGTTCTTTGAAGTGAGGAAAGCTCTTTCTCCAACATTTGAAAATGTCAGATTTAAGAAAAAAAATTTTTTTGTCCCTTAGGAAATCCTACATTTTTATATTAAAATCAGGAACAAGGACAATAACAAAACAACAAAGAAGCTCTCCAACATTACACAAGATCATTACCTGGACCATGCAGTCATCATATTTCAGAGTTATAAGCTATCGAGTTGACGGCCCTTCTTGCTAAAGGTGAAGAATCTAAAGCCCAAAAGGCTTAAATGACTCGTTCAACAACTGGTCAACAGTACTGACCGACAAGAACCCGGGTGGCCAGTTCCATTGCCACCCTGTGCAATGGTCACTCCTGACCATAGTGCAGACAGTATGAGGCTGCAATGTGTGGGACAGGCACAGGAGCCAAAGCAAAGAGGTAGCAATCTTGCCCTTGATGGGGCTGAGGAATGTCATACAAGTCTCGCACATAGCAGGGTCAGGCATGCTGGGGGACACAGCCAAGCCAAGGAGGCCCAAGTCCAGAGTCAGTGCCTGGAATGACTGGCACAGTCAGGGCTATGTGCGAGTTAGCCTTGAAAAGCCCTCAGAGCATACTGGACACTAACAGACCATCTCACAGCAAGTCCAACAGAGCGGAGTTTCCCCTCTGGCACTAGAATGGAAATCTTGGTGAGTTAGCAAACTGAGTCAGCTTCTGTTTTTTTCATTGTTAAATGCTAAAAATCATGCTTGAAGCAGTGAGGGATTTATACAGGAGCTGAAAGGGGGGTGGAAACAGGATTGCCTTTCCTCACCTCAGGTGGAGGATCCCCAGCACCAGCAGCCACACCGTCTGGCTGAGCAAAGGAGGCTGATGCAGTTACCACAACATATGGATGGTTCAAGGTCACCACACTCCTGGAACCAGCACAGACCCCACAGGACACAGCAGCAAAGAAACCAAGAGGCACTTAAAGAAACACACCCTACCTGCGAACTCTCCAGTTCCCTGTCAGGATGTTGTGCTTAATTTTTTTCTCCTGTTCTTCATTCATATATGGGATTCCATTTTTAAGAAACTAAACACAGAAAACAGAAACTAGTGAGAGTCATCCTCCAAGCCACAAAGGAAGGGGAAGGGGAAGAAGAGGAGTGTATAACCACACCACCCCAAATGCACCCCATCTCAGGAGATAAGCAGGGTCAGGCCTACTTAGTATCTCACGGGAAAAACGGGAAGAGAAAAAGGGTCCTGTGGGCCCATTAGACTGGACTTTCAACCTGCCTCCTCCCCTCCTCCAATGCCATACCTTGTTATAGTTGAAGCCGTACTGATTCAAAAACTGAACACTAGAAGCCTGGAAAGAGAATTCTGAATCCAAAATCCCAAATGTTGTAGGGAAGAGAAAGAAGTTATATGAATGGGCTACATACCTATAAAAACATAAGAAAAAATCAAAGGCATTTAAAACACACACACACACACACACACACACACACACCCTGACTCATTAAGCAGCTTCAGAGTAGATTCTTTCTTTCATCCATTTAGGAAAAACTGTGCTTCAGATACTTTGCCTGGCACTGAGAGCCAAAGAACAAAAGCAGTGATCCTACCCTCAGAAAATGTTCTGCTACAGAAACAGGCTCTCAATAAAACCACCAGGGCTGCAGGAGCCACCCCATAAGGGAGTACCCTTCCACACTCCTGGAACCAGCTAGTACCTGTGAGCTAGCAGGCAGTTCAGACAGCATCACAACACACACAGTATTAACTGCTCTCGTGAAGGTGCACAAGAGACAATGGAAAAGTGGACAGGAGCGTATAAGGTACCAGGCAGGGGTGGCGGAAAAGGCCTTGCAGAAATGGTACCTTTCAGGAGAGACCTGGAGGTAAGCTGGAATCTGCAGAGGACAGAGCCAGTGGAAGAGCCAGAAGTAGGAGAAAACAGAGTGTCCAGGACAAAATGACTCAGATACCAGGGAAGAATATGAAGGGGAGATAGATGTAGAACACAGATGAGCAAAAGCCCTGCTTTGCAAAAGCTCTTTATACGTACTTGTTGAACTCTCCTTCGATACTGGAAAATACAGACAATCCTAGAAGAACAATAGCGGAAGTAATGAATACTAAGAATAAGCTCCCCGAGGTGAACACAGAGCCCAAACATTTCCAACAGGACTTTGCATCCACAGATACTATGTGGGTGGCAGGACAGAATAAGATCCTTACAGAACGAGACAAGAGTTGAAGCTGGGTGCAATGACACGCCTGTAATCCCAGCAGCTCAGGAGGCTGAGGCAGGAAGATCCCAAGTTCAAAATCAGACTCAGCAACTTAGTGAGGCCCTGTCTCATATCTCACAATAAAAAATAAAAAGGGTTGGGGAGGTAGCTGAGTGGTTAAATGCCCCTGGATTAAGTCCCCAATATCCTCCTATCCCCCCACAAAAAAGACAACTGTGGCCTGTTCTTCAAACAGTATTTAAAAAAAAAAAAAAAATCAATTTTCATAGTTTTAAAACTAACCAGAGGGGGAGGGGGGAGGGTGGATGATGGGAAAGGCAGCGGAGCACAACAGACACTAGTATGGCAATTTGTAAATCAATGGATGTGTAACTGATGTGAATCTGCAATCTGTGTATGGGGTGAAGGTGGGAGTTCATAACCCACTTGAATCAAAGTGTGGAATATGATATGTCAAGAAATTTGTAATGTTTTGAACAACCCACAATAAAAAATTAAAAAAAAAAAAAAAAAAAAACTAACCAGAGGAAACACCAAAACCCATAAAGTAAGTCTTATAAATTTAACAGCTTTTAAATGACTATTACCAAAAGATAAAAGAAAAATTCAAAATGGTGTGTGTGTTGGGGGGTGAACAACAGAACATAACCAAGAGCACCAAGAGTCCACACTTTTCAGAGATCACACAGTTAGGAGAAACAGCAAAGGACAAGGGTAGGGAGGAAAACAGATGTCCAGCGTCATCCATAGTGAAAGCTAGTCAGTAGACTCTGGCCCAAAGTCTGCTTTTATGAAAAAGCTTTTTACAGGAATAGGGCCATGCTCATGGGTTTATATGTTCTGTACAGCTGATTTCACATTACAAGGGTAAGATTGAATAGCTGTAACAGAAATCACATTGTCTGCAAGATCAAAAATATTCTCTATGGAGCCCTTTATAGAAAAGGTTGTCAACATTTCTATCATAAAATGTAAACAGACTAACAATCATTTTTCCTTTACCAGGTGGACAAAAGTTGCAGACTGATAACACCCAGTGTTGGAGAAACAGACAAATTCGCTATTAGTGTAAACAACGAAAACTTAGCGAGGGCTGGGGGCGTAGCTCAGTGATAGAGCCCTGCGTTTACAACACAATGCTAAACTACGTATCAATAATTCAATATTCTAACACATACTGTAACTTTGCAATTCCACTGCTAGAAGTATCTCAGATGCATATACTCACAAAAGTACAGGATCATATATATAAACACCAAGAGTCAGTGCAAGTCTAATTGTACACAAATGTAATTGAAACATGCTTATTAGCAGATTAACAGATACATTGATAGTTTGTAATACTATGTGCTGTTAAAAAATGAACATGTTTGTATGTGCTGATATATAGATCTCCAAACCCCAAACTCCACGAAGTAAAAACAAAGGGAAAAACAAAATATTTGTAATATAATCATATGTCCAAAATCATACACCCATTTTTAGTTGAAAGACGACGGAACAAGGAACAACAGTAATTGTTACTTAATGTTGGTTAAATTTTCTGCTTACTCCAAAGTGTTGGATCTAAAGCCAAAAACAGAAGAATACAAAAATGATAGCCAATGGCTTTGACACTTTTTCAAACACATTTTCACGAATAGGAAACAAAGACAATATCTTCTTAACAGATTCATAACGAAGAGATGACCATCAGACTCACCAATCTGACAGATGGTAAACTGCTGAACACTCTGGCGGGTCTTTAGGTACCACTCGGATGGCAAATCAAAAAGACTGAAAAAACAGGCATCAACAAGATCTGGTCAAGATACTAGGGCTCCAGAGCAGGCTCACTTGGCCACTCAACCAGGGATCACATCTTTTCCTTATTACAGAAACTAGGGAATACTACCAGCATTAGGGGACTAATACTAGGTCCCACAGGTGGGAGCAACCCACACAAACTGACCTGCCCCACCCAGGGAAGCCAACCCTGCGCTGCTGAGAATCATGTTGGTCTGGCTGGGGGACACAGGCCAGCCAGCTCTTTGGGCTTTAAGACAGCTTTAGCTTTACCTGATCTGCTGCGGTCCGGAAAGGCTAGAACGAAGGCCAGTGAACTCTATGTCCAGACCTAAGGGGGAGGCAAAAGATAGAGGAGTCCCCAAGCACAGGGCAGACACCACTCCACGGTGTGGATGCCACAGGTGGCCTAAGCACGTCGCTCATTTTGTGTTCAAGAGGCCAGGTGGGGGCAAAAAGGGAAAATGGAGGAAACCGAGGCAAGGACCAGCCAAACCATGGGGGTTGTACCTGGACCTCAGGGAGTCTGGCCCATGACATCAGGGCTCTCAACACTCAATTGAGCGCTCCCTATCGCCCCCCTGCCTGCGGGCGTAAGAAGTCCGCCTGTCCCTCCGAGGGGCAGGGGCCCCTTTGAGCCCCCTGCGGCCTGGCCACAACCGTATCCCACCTGTGCTACCCCTTCCTCCAGCTGGTCCAAGGCACTCTGGTGACCGGGCCCGCAGTCCCCGATACCTTACCCACAAAATCCGCGTCCTGGACGAGCTCCTGCAGCAAGGGGAGGTTCTGCTCAAACTCCTCTGCGCCCAAGTCCATGGCCGCTGGGCCGAGGGCGCCAGTGAGGCCACGTAGTACCCACGCGCTTCCGTTGCGCGGGGCCTTAAAGGGCTCGCGCACGTGGAAACCCGCCCACCCCGCGCGGCAGCCGCATAGCCTGCACCTGCCCACCGGCCTAGAGCCTAACTTGCTCCCAAGGTGAAGGTCGTTTGCAAAGAAGAGCTGCCTGTTAGACTGAAGGTGGCCTTGGCGCCCAGATTGTCTAGCACTCGCCTACTCCCTGTGGCAATTCTCACCTCCACGCCTACACCCAAGGGAGACCCTGTTTTTGTTAGCTAATTTTCACTCACTAGTACACAATCTTTCTTACACGTCTTCCCTTTAATTCTAGGTTTCTATGTGAACACCCTTCTTCAAATCTTTGAGGGAATAATAATAATCTGGAAGTTTGAACGTCCTCACAGGGATATTTATTTATCAAAAGGGACTAGTAAACCATTGGATGCTGAAAGTCTCAACATAAGTCACACTGTTAAGAGAGTTGGTGCAAAGACTTGTCTTTCAAAAATTACATTGCATATTCAGATTGATGGCATTTCATTTTTAAATAAATGTGTAATTGGTGAACACACCTAAAAATTGGGAAAATTATGCTTTCAAAGCCACCTTAATTACTTAAGCAATTAATTTTCCCCAGGTAGCTGGAAACAGTTAACACTTTGCTTCCTCTATTAATCACTTCACAGCAATCTGAGCACACACTACCCCTCCTTTCCACTTCCATTTGCAATTCCTCAGGGCACCTTTAACTCTCAAATTTGCCTCTCCAAACACTGGGAATCAAGGGCCCCAAAGAGTTTATTAGCATTTGCCCTCTTATCCTAAGATTCTAAGTTTAGACAGATAGTGACATCTCCCACTTTAAAAAAACAGCCCCACAATCTGAGCAGCAAGTAACTCTCACTGGGATCACTCATCATGAGACGATGCAGTAATAAGTGCTTTACACAATCATCAGATGTTACCCTTAAAATAGTGAGCTCACAGGCAAGAAACTTCATATAACCAGAAAACAATAGTTCTCATATGCCTTTATTTGGTAACTTACAAGCAATTTTTAATTTGTCCTTCAAAAGTTAACTGGTGTCTGCTTTGTACTTCTCACCTCCAAGAGGAGAGAGTATTTAGCCCTTGATTAAAACAAAAAAAACCACCACACACAAAAGGGGAGGGGGATGACCATAACTACAAATAATCTTCCACTGAACTCCGTTGTTGCAAAACTTCCAAGCTCGTTTTTCTTCCAGATGCTTTCTTAGACAGCTGTAGAAGCTGATAGTTTTATATTTATGTGTTCAAAACTTCTATGCTTCTATTTCACTCATAGATCCTCCGAGGTTCCTGAAGCACTACACCACCTTCTGTCATGGCACTTTGTAAGCGTTTCATCTTGTTTTAAAAATCAGGGGGGAAAAAAAAGGAAAAAATAAAGCTCATCAGTAAGCTGAAAATTAACTTTGCTTTCCAAGAGACAAAGAAATAACAACTGATGTGCTCTTGCTAACTTCCCAGCCTACACTGGTTGTTCAGATAAGGATCTTAAGAATGACACAGGTAAGAAAAAAAGGAATTGAGAAATGTCAGGGATCAGCAGCATTCTGAAATACATCACAAGATGTCAATACATAAACATGATGACATGATGGGCTAGAGAATCAGTCACTCTGAAATCAACCAAACAATGACTCTGACTTCAGTTCATTTGTGTATAAAACAGGAATAATTGGTCCCTAACTCTAGACTGCTGTAAGGATTAAATAAGGTAACGTCAGAATACTCACCCCAGGGTCCAAAATGGAGAACACTTGGAAACTACTATTATATAAGTACCTAACATCAAGAATCAATACAATGCCTCTTACAATTTTTTTTTCAGTGCTAGCCATCAAACTCAGGGCCTCACACACGCTAGGGAAGCCCTCTACCTCTGAGCTACATCCCAAGCCCTAAAATACTATTTTAGTAAACACAAATGGAAACAAAAATACCAAGTCTGGAGGCTAAGATTCTAGCTCAGTGATAGAGAAGTTGCAAAGCACATGTGAAGCACTGGGTTCAATTTTCAGCAGTGCATATACATGAACAAACAAATAAATAAAAATAAAGGTCCATCAACAACTAAAAAATATTAAAAAAAAAAAATACCGAGTCTGAAGCTGCCTCCCAAGGGGTTGGCTGGTAGACCATGAAGTTGATTCCTGCCTCTAAGCACCGCTCTGCCAGCACTCGTCCTATGCTCTCACAAGCTACCACGTTTCTGGTTCTGTAAAGATGCTTTTTAATAGCCCATTCACGAGTGGATGCTGAAACCACGACCTTGCCATTTCGATGCTCTACAATCGCTTCTACATGATGCTGAGTCTTTATAACTCGTAGTCTAAATGGGAAGAGAAGAGGATAAAAGTCAAAAAACTATCCATCTATCCATCCTAAAGTTAAGTTACTTCAAGTGAATGAATGCCTAAGTAACCCTTGAGAATTCAATGCATGGTTGATTTACTTCAACATACTTACTTGGCTTTTTACTTGGGACAGGTGTTTTCCCTGTCTTTAATGAGACTATTCTCAATAACAATAAATCAAATATTTGCACTTAACCTCAAGTATCAAGGAGAAACTTGGTATTTCTGAAGAGCTGAGTCTTACTTTTTATACATATACTTCAAAAAAGGAATCTTGAAGAGATGCAACTAAGTTGCTGACTATATCCTGGATAAGGATATACTTACTCTGTGCTTTTATTTTCCAGCTAACACCAAAATAAATGAAAAATGGGGCAAAGATTTAAAAGTAAAAATCGAAATCAGAAGAGTACTAAAAGAAAATAAGGGAATTTTTTTTTTTTTATAATGTCAAAATAAGATATGCCTGTTTAAATGTGAAATCAGCCATGGCTTTTATAGAATAATTAGATGTCAAATAAAAGATGACAGATTTTCTACATGGTTAAAGACCAAACAAACAAAAAATTAAGTTCAAAGACAAACAATGCACTTGTGGGTGTAGTCCAATGTAGAGTGCCTGCTTAGCATCTATGAGGCCTGGGGGTCAATCCTTAGCATAGGCAGGGGAAAGGAACGAATGGGGGACAAAGCAATGAAAAAGAATAAAAACATTTATCATTTATGTATTTTGGTACATGGACTGGGGGCACTTTACCACTGAGCTACATCCCCAGACCTTTATTTTTATTTTGAGATAGGGTCTCACTAAATTGCTGAGGCTGGTATCAAATTTGCAATTGTCCTACCTCAGCCTCCTGAATAACTAGAATTTCAGGCGTTTGTGCTACACAACCTGGCCGAAAAATATTTTAAACTCCTCTATTTTTTAAAGGACTAACTTCTGTAATTTGTAAAAAATCTCCTATAATAAATAAGAAATTTACCAATAACTTAAGAAATAAAAGATCTGAACACTGTTCAAAGGAACAGAAAATATTAATGACATTTAAATCCAGGAAAATATACACCCAATCTCTGATTTAAAAAAAATGAATGGATGAGACAATTCATTACAACACTGTAATCACAAAGATAATCATCAATAGGGAGCTAGTTAACTAAAACGTGCATGCCATGTTTTTTATACAGTCACTAAAAAGAGGTAACATTTTATGATTACAATAGCTAACGTTGACTGAGCACTCACTGTGTTAGGTTTATCCTAATTGTTTATAGGTTTAGCTCATGTCTCAAAATAATCCCATCTTACTTCCATTTGCTTTTCTTTCACTTGGGTACTGGGGATTAAACTCAGGGGTACTGGACTACTGAGCCACATCCCCAGCCCTATTTTGTATTTTATTTAGAGACAGGGTCTTACTGGGTTGTTTAATGCCTCACTTTTTGCTAAGGCTAGTTTTGAACTCAAGATCCTCCTGCCTCAGCCTCTGGAGCAGCTGGGATTACAGGTATGCGCCACTGCTTCTGGCATTCCATGTGTTTTTTAAACTACAGAAACTGACACAGAAAAATAACATAGGATTACAACTAGGAAGCAATGGAGCCAGGCATTAGGTCTAGGGATCTGGCTCCAGAACCAATCCTCCTATCCACCAGGAAGAAGGATCTACAAGGCGTATTTTTAAGTATATGCTTAGGGAATATCGGGAGGGCTAAAGAACATTCTAGAACAATGCTTATGATTTGACAAGAATAATTTTTAAAAAAGACCTTTTTGCTTATATGCATAACTCTAGAAGGATACATACAAAACTAGTCCCTGTGGGGTTTTATAACATGGGGTTACAGTTCATTGGATTCAACGAACCACAGGTGGTCAGGTAGAAAATATCTGAGGGAAAAAATTATATCTGTACTGAACATACACAGACTTTTCTTGTCACTATTTCCTAAACAATACAGTATAATAAGTATTTGCATAGCAGTTACATTGTTTTCGGTATTATAAGCAATCTAGAAATGGTTTTAAGTAACAGGAGAATATAAATTATATGTAAATATTGTGCCATTTTATGTAAGATATTTAATCTAATCCCCTGTGGATACCTAGGGATGGCTGTTCCACTTCCTTTTTTTTTTTTTTTACTACTGGGATTAAACTCAGGGCTTTGTGTATACACATACACAATCAGTATACAAATACTGATCCGTACCTCCAGATCAAAATTAAATTAAGCTCAAATTAAAGAAAACACTCAAATTAGAAGATCTTCACTAGCATTCCTAAGGCAAAGCAGGAAAGGCACTAGATTTGGAAATGTGGGTTCTCTTGGTTTTGCTGGTGGTGCTAATAAAAATTATACTTCATAGAAAGTTGCACAGGCCACAGTTTTAAGACCCTTGTCTTCAACTATGTATTCAATGAAGGGGTAGGACTCCATCTCTAAGGTCATTTCCTAGACTTTCAAAATTCTGTAGTGATAATTTGGTAAATAGGGCAGACCCAGTGAGTGGGGGGAAATAAGTCTAATTTAAACAATTCAAATATTAAGTGAAGGAAATGTTGGATGTTTCAAAAGAATTTTAGACTGAAGATCCAGGTTATTTCAAAAGTGAACTGCCTCCTCCCTGTATCCTCTAAGCAAAAATGTATCATAGCAATTATGACATCATGCTCATTCTGCTTTCCATCATGAAACTATAAAAACTTCAGTGACAAGAATTTCAGAAGGGGCAAGCCCTTTTCCACGGTAGAACTGGGGTTCTAGTGAGCCCTTTAGTCTTATGCTCTATCATTATTTTTCCTACATCTAGCACAATGCCTAGTGATACAGGCCCAACATTTGCTGAATAAATAAATGCATTTACATAATTATGATTACTAACTTGTCCTGATAACTGTGTGTAGTCCTTTAGAAATAATTCTACTCCAGGGGTCTAGAGATGTGGCTCAGTGGTAATGTACTTGCCTGATGTGTGAGACCCTGGGTTCAATATCCAGCACTACACACACAACAGGAAAAACTCTAACAAATCTTCATCAAGGAAATAATATCTATGTCCTGCAGCATAGTGGTAATAATTTAGTGTCCTGGTTCTAGGTCATATAAAATATGTTTGAATCTTAGCTCTGGCAGTCACTAATGATGTCTCCCCCAACTGCCTCGTTCCTGTAAAATGGAGAAAATTATTGTACCTGCTCCATGAAGTAATTTTAAGGATTAAATGAACAATACATTTTTTATATAGTTCCTGGCAAATATTTTCAATAACCCACCAAGGGGCTGGGGGATGTAGTTCATTTGTAGAGCAGTTGCCTACCATGCACAAGACATGTGTGTCTTCCTCCTTTTACTCCTACTCTTTAAAAGTTTATTCTCCCTAAAGCAGCTAGAATTATTTTTATTCTCCTTTTGCAGGACTTCCCACTTGCTAGGCAAGCACTCTACCCCAGACCTTAGAATGAACTTTAAAAAGCCAGATCGTTCAGGCTCAAATTTTAAATCTTGCAGTTTCCAATCTCGACTGGTTACCTTAACTTGAAAAGCTAATGACTTAACCTCCTTCTACGTGCTTCTCCAATTTCATCTTCCCCGCTTTGCCCAAACAACTCAGATACACAGGCCTACGGATTCCTCCCACCCACCCACTAAGAGCAGTCGCACCCTGCTGCCTCTGCTAGAACGCTCCTTCTTCTATCTTTCAGACCTCAACGTTTTCAACGTCACCTCCTCTGCAACCCTGGTAAGCACCCAGCTCCCCAAGCCCACACTGTCGTCTGCAGGGCACCCGTAGGTTCAAAGGTTGGGACCCCTCCGCATGTCCTGCCTCTAGGCACGTGCGAGGCGCCCCCGGGGCGAGTCCCCGACGTCCCGCACCGTCCTGCTGAGCAAAGCCATCTGTGAGGCGCGGCGCTCCTCCGTCGGGCCGTCGCAGGCTGACTTGGTTACCTGTGCCAGAACTCACGCGAGGGCCACACTGTCCCCCAGCCCCGCTCCTTCCTGGCCACAGCCAAGAGCTCCAGGTTCCGGGGGTTCCTGTTGGTGAACTCGGGCGCGACGGCTTCATTTCCCAGGGGCTCAGCGTGGGGCTCCGCCGCCGGCGTGGTGCAGAGGGCTGCAAACCCGCGCTCTGGGGAACGGACACGGCCACATGGAGCTTAAGCACGACCGCCGTGGACACCGGGGCCGGCCTAACTCCACCGCCTCCGCTCCCCGGTCCTCGGGTCCCGAGGGAGCGCCCAGGGCGCGTTTGCTTCTCCTCGGGACAAGTGGAACAGAAGAGGACATGCAGATTCGCATCTACTGGGCAGGCCCCAGGGAGTAGGCTGGCAAGCGGGGCGAGATTAATTACCCGGATTCCTGCGAACCAACACCAACTTCCAGAGCCCCGGCCGAAGTGCCATCGCTGAGGAGATCACCGGCAAAGCCTCGCTTCTTTTTCCTCCCGGTTGTCTCAGCGGCTAACCCGCCATATTAACTCAGGGAAAAGTCGAACCGCGCATGTCCTTGAAGCTTCAAACCAACAAGGCCCCTGCCGCACATTACCCCGCTCCACCAATCAGTGCCTACGTCGAGGCGCAATCACGCTAGGCGCCAACCAATCACCTGATAGAAACGCACTTTGTTGTAGACTACTCTTTACACCAAGCTCGGCCCCCAAGACACAACTTGAAGTTACCGTATTTGGGTTGTCTGGTCCCTTAAGCCCATCATTGTAGCGTGGACACAGTAATTGGGTATTGGGAGGAAATGAGGCAGAGCAATGTTCACACTTTTTCCTCAAAAAGGGTGCCGTCGTTTGGGAACTGAAGGCTTTCCCCCGTGGCCCTTGGAAAACCTGGCCCCATACTAACCAAGTGCAGACTCGCAAGGTCATACCTGTTAGTCCCACAACAAAGCACAATTTGCCGCAAGCTTCCCGAACAAGCATTTAAGAAAGGCAAGAGCACAAGGTTAAAGAGCCCACTAGAACCCCAGCTCTACCGTGAAGAGCCCGCCTCGTTCTTGTAACACAATTTCTAACTCCGCCCTACTGTCCAACTTTTCCAGAAGATACGAGAATGTGCACACGCGCATGCGTAACCTTGCCCGCAGAAGAGTACTTCCTAGCTCCAGAGTCCTCCAACTCCTGACAACCGTTCCTCCCTCAGCGTCCTTTCTCTTCCGGTCTCTAATTGGGCAAAATTACTGAACCTGCCCCTTTTTGGTCCTCTTATTTCCGTTGAGTTGAAGCTGCTTTTCCTGTTTCTCCCGGTTCCCGCCCTTCTTTTCCCGCCAGGCCTTGCGGCCGAGGCTGAGGAGTGAGGCAGCGAGCGGGGCGGAGTTACCCAGCAGCCCCCGCGGCGCCACTCGGGTCTTTCCACGCCACCGCCACTTCTCTAGTGGCCACCGCCCGGCCTGGGGATTAAGATACGGGTTGCCTGCGGTGTGAGTGAAATTCGACGCAAACCCTGCCGCGAGGATGGAGGGGCCTTTGTCCGTGTTTGGGGACCGCAGCACTGGGGAGGCCATCCGCTCCCAGAACGGTAAGGGCGGGCGAGGCCTGGGCCTGCCCGGGCGGCCCGCGGCTCCCTGCCCTCGCCCTCGCGTCTTCCTCGGCGGAAGGGGCTCCCGAGGGCGCGGCCCGGTGCGACCCAGGCGGTTGTCGCCGTGCGAGGCCTCGCCGTCAGGGAGGACGCCAAGGGCGCCGCCGGCGTTCCCAACTCGCGGGAGCGGTGCGGAGACACGTGCCCGCGGCCCCTTTTGTCCTTCTGGGATCGTCCACCAGCGACTAGGCCCAGTCGGAACTGCAGGCGGGCGGGTGCCCGCGGAGTTAAGGGCGACGTGTTCCCGCGGAAGTCGCCCCGACCCTCGGAGACTGCCGTAGAGTAACGGAACGCCGCTGGCGCTCGGGGCCTGATCACTCAGCCGGGCAGCGAACCCTTAAAAACGGGGGGTCCCTCCTACGCTCAGGACGAAATTTGCCCGTCTCCTTCCTTAGGCTTCCTTAGGGCGCGTTTGTAGATCCGAGCAGTTTGGAGGTTGTGAGATGTTATTTTGCTTCTGTGGGTGAGATGACTGTCCTTTAGAGCTGTGCATTTCTGATTTTACTGTGCTTTTTTCATTAATTGTCTACAGTTATGGCTGCAGCTTCTATTGCCAATATCGTTAAGAGTTCTCTTGGTCCAGTTGGCTTGGATAAAATGTTGGTGGATGATATTGGTGTAAGTATATCTGTTGTGTTGATTGCTCTAAAGAGAAAAGATCTGAAGTTTTTTTTTCTGCAAGTTGTTGTCTTCAGAACCTGATATTGGAAAGTATATCAAAGATGAATGTGTCATAATAGGGATATCTGAATTTATCTCACATTTCCTGGAAATTTCTGCAGGATGTAACCATTACAAACGATGGTGCTACCATCCTGAAGTTACTGGAGGTAGAACATCCTGCTGCTAAAGTTCTTTGTGAGCTGGCTGATCTGCAGGACAAAGAAGTTGGAGATGGAACTACCTCAGTGGTAGGTAGTCGCCTGGGAGAGGGGCTAAAGAATAATTATTTTTATCCTATTTGAAGCTGTGGGCCAGAAATAAGTTACATATTTAAAAAGGAAAACAGTATGTTTCTCAAGCAGTGCTTCAGAAACAAAACTTGATAATTATAGCTAGTTTTGAGCAATATAAGTAGAAAAGAAACTCAAACTAATTAAATTCAGCGTCATTTTAAATATTGGATTTCACACGTTTGGGGGACTTTTTTTTTCTCTCTTAGTATTAATACATAAGGGTTTTTGTTTTTTTTTAATGGCTTCTGAAATGTATTTTCTCTTACCCACCATCACCTGAGGCTTAGAAATGTCTAAAGTCTTTGCTATTGTAATTATCTAAAGAACCCTGTGACCCAGCTGGTGGTCTATACCTGTAATCACAGCAGCTTGCAAGGTTGAGACTGGGAGATCACAAATTCAAAGCCAGTCTCTGGCAATTTAGCCAGACCCTGTCTCTAAATAAAATACAAAAAAGGGTTGAGATGTGGCTCAGTTGTTGAGTGCCCCTGGGTTCAGTCCCCGGTATCCCTGTACCCAAAAAAGGGGGAGTAGGGCTAGGGATATGGCTCAGTGGTTAAATGCTCCTGGGTTCAAACTCCACCAAAAGGAGGAGGGAAAAATAAAGGAGAGGATGATATATGTTTTTTTTTTTTTTAAATACTATTTATCTATTTTACATGCAAAAGGCAGTCATAATGATTGGATGTAGCAAGCAGTCTACCTCCAAACTATATCCTTAGCTCTAAAAGTCTAATTAAAAGACATTTTAGCATTCCTTGAAAGGAGTTAACCCAAAAGTCTAAAACAGTCCAAGTCATTTCAATAGCAATTTAGCTTCCATTGGGCATTTAATCTCTAAAGGTAATAGATGTATTTGTTGTCTTCTGTTTTACTGTTGAACTAGTTTCTTAGAACATTTTTCTGACTTTCATCTGTTGGGTTTGGCCATTGACATACAGAATATTTTGTAGTGTTTTCTTTTTTCATATTTTTAATAGCCACTTATTCATTTCTCCATCACTCACCATTTTGGTTAATAATACCTGATGACTTTAGTCTTGCTTTTGTGGGTGCATGATATATCCAGTGCCAGACATCTTAGCGCATGACTGTTTTCTCAACAGGTTATTATTGCAGCAGAACTTCTGAAAAATGCAGATGAATTAGTCAAACAGAAAATTCATCCCACATCAGTTATTAGTGGCTATCGACTTGCTTGCAAGTAAGATTGTTTGCATTCTCAGGAATTTTTTGTTTGACACAGTAGTTATACATAGTGTTTTAATGTTTTGATTAATAATTAAATTTTGGTTTAAAAAAGTTGTGTTTTAACAACCAAGTAACACTTGAACTAGAGCCAGTAATGTTTTTTCCCATATGACTACCACATTTTCTTTTAATAATAGATTTTAGTGGCTATGCTTATGGGATAGATTAAAGTTGCCATGATCTGAAGAGGGAGGATTTTCAAGTGTTCTCCTTCTATATGAAATGGCTGAACAAAAAGTCCTTTCCTTTGACATTTTGAAACTGTTACATGTGATAACATTAGGGCTGGGATTGTGGCTTAGAGGAGAGCACTGGCCTCACATAGCATATGTGAGGCACTGGGTTCGATCCTCAGCACTGCATAAAAATAAAACAAAGATATTGTGTCCACTTATAACTAAAAAATAAATATTAAAAAGTGTCTTTTTTTTAATGTGATAACATTAAAAGGTTTGAGTACTGAATTGACTTTTTTTTCTGTCCTTTAAACAGGGAAGCAGTGCGCTATATCAGTGAAAACTTAATTATTAACACAGATGAACTTGGAAGAGATTGCCTGATTAATGCTGCTAAGACTTCCATGTCTTCCAAAATTATTGGAATGTATCCTTGCATCCAAGTAAAGTTTAGCACCCCTACCCCTTTGGTGGGTAGAGTGCTAGGGATTGAACCTGGTTTAGGTTTGGGGGGTTTTTTAAAACAGTAAAAGTTTTAAATATCAATTTAATGCAAATTGATAAATCTGTCAGAGACATGACGTTGTGTTGAAATTGCCTGTTGCTTTCTTTGCATTTCAAGGGTAAAAAGATAATGTAAAGCATGTGTAAGTGATATGAATGGTGGATGGTGATAAGTAATAAGTCACTTTGATAAATATTTTTCTTTGATGAAATCGCTATAAAGAGAGTCACTTTCAATTGCCCTTGATTTTTATGTGTATCCTTTGTTCATTCGTTCTGTTGTTATCCTTAACTATCAGCTTAGAGATGGTGATTTCTTCTCTAATATGGTAGTAGATGCTGTACTTGCTATTAAATACACAGATATAAGAGGCCAGCCTCGCTATCCTATCAATTCTGTTAATATTCTGAAAGCCCATGGGAGAAGTCAGATGGAGAGCATGCTGATCAGTGGCTATGCACTTAACTGTGTGGTGGGATCTCAGGGTAAGGTTTGAGATTTAATCATAGAATGAGATTTCTGTAGTTAAAATTAGCTTTTTGTGATTTGCATACAATACATCTTTTGTAACTTGAGCACATAAAAAAATGTTAAGATGAGTGCAAATTAAAAGAAATTATCTCCCCTTAATGCCTTTATATTTAAGGCTTAATAATTTTTATTCTTTTAATTTTAGGGATAGGTGTATTATGTGAACTGAATATTGTTATAGTTACCACAAAATATTATGTTCACTTATAGGCATGCCCAAGAGAATAGTTAATGCAAAAATTGCTTGCCTTGACTTCAGCCTACAGAAAACAAAAATGAAGCTTGGTGTACAAGTGATTATTACAGACCCTGAAAAATTGGACCAAATTAGACAGAGGTATGTTGCGGGGGTTTTTTGTTCTGTTTTGTTTTTTAATCTGTTAGTACTGAGGATTGAACACAGGTTCTTGGCGACCACTGAGCCACATCCCCAGCCCTATTTTGTATTTTATTTAAAGACAGGGTCTCACTGTGTTGCTTAGCAACTCACTTTTGCTGAGGCTGGATTTGAACTTGTGATCCTCCTGCCTCTCAGCCTTCCTCTGCCAGGACTACAGATATGCATCACTGCACCTGGCACTATATTGACAGATTTTTTACCTTTGTCAGGGGTGTTTGTAAAACTCCTTTGTGTTGAACCAGGCGACAGTAGACTGGAAAGAATGAGTTTTCTCATAGGACAGAACAGTCATCGTTCTGATGGCTTGCTGTGTGGCAGAACATAGTATTTACAGAACTGGACTTTTTAAGTATCAGAGTTTTGGAAAACTTAACATTTACCCAAATCAAACTGTTCTACATGAACCTCTAGAAAAAAAATAGGAAATGTGATGATGTTTTAAAAGGGATTTGGGGTGCTATGACTTCTGTGAAAATTGAACTTTTTGTGGAATTTTTGGCTTTATGAATTGATTTGAGATTAAAGGTATAAAAGCCAAGAACCTATTTCCTCAAAGAAGCAGTTCAGACTTTTTGCTACTGTATACTGGATACTAGGGACTGCAGATGGTGTTACTCAATTGGCATACAGGAAGAGCTAGTTGTGAAGGTAGTTTGCTCCCAGGGATTTTGCCTGCTTTATTCCACTTTATCCACATTCATTTATTATTATTATTATTATTAACATGTAGTAACTACATATTTGAGTGCAGTGTGGCTTCACTTTGGGTAATGATCAGACCAGGATAATCATTATCTGTTGCCTCAGACATTTATTTGTATGGGAACATTGAGAATCCTCTCTGCTAGCTATTTTGAAACATTCAGTTAGTTGTTCTTCCTGTCCCTGTACCCATTAAACTTTTTGCATCTCTCCCCCACCCCCTTCCCAGACTTTGATAACTGCTGTACTATTCTCTACTTCTTCTTGGAAGTGTGTTTTTATTTTTATTTATTTATTTATTTTTTGCTATTTGGTTACTTTGAATAAACAACTAACCAAAGCCTGCAAGAAATCTTTGCCAAAAGCTAGAAATGCTGCCCATCTTCGAAATCTATATGCGTGTGTATCCTTTTACTCCTTCCTTCTATCAGAGGGGAATTCTCCAGCAGTATGTTTTCCAGAGTCTGTTCCCTTAGAACCCTCCTTCATTGATTGTTCTTTAACAATTGCATCTTTAACTCAACTCTTCCTTTGCTGGATTCCACTTGGAGCTCTCCTGTCCTTAAAGCATTTTGCTCATCCACTTGACATAGTTACTCCCTGTCCTTTCTTATCAAGCAGGTGCCACAAAAGTGATATAAACATGTTTGCTGTGACTTTACTTTTCAATCCCTTTTTCATCCCTTTTCTCCAGTGTCAGGGTCACTAATAATAACACTAGCATGAAAGTCAGTTGACATCTTCAGCCTCCTTTTTCTTGATCTTTATCAAGCCTTTGGCCGATTCTGTCTTAACATGCCTTTAAAGAGGGGAGGCTTTCCCTCAATCTCCCAATCTTTGTCTTCTTGGGCTTTCACAGTTTCTGCTATGTATACAACTGTAATGTGAGTTCTGAATATAGAGATGGAATTATTTCTTTGGCTTTGTAGCCTTGGTTCTTCAGTATCTGGTACACAGTACTTATTTAGTAGATGGGGTGAGTAGTAGTACTCTACAAAATAATAAACAAGCTAAGTATGGTGGTACATACTTGTAGTCTGTAGTCTCACTTACCTGAGAGGCAGAGGCAATAAGTATGGTAAGTCTACAGACGAGTAACAGTCGTTTTTGATCATTTAAGTTTTATGTAATGTGCTTGATTGTGCTTTAATACAACTGATAAGTGTCATTAGTTTATAATAATCATCACTACATACGTGTGTCCACTGCATTGTGACAAGATAGCTGCTATAATGCTAGTAGGTGATAAGGATTATTTTTTATAGGACCACTGTTGTTTATTTGGCCTATCATTGACCAAAATGAATGCATGATTGACTACTTGAAAAAAATCTTTGAATAATCTCATCTACTCCATGACTTCAATGTATATTGACTTTGAATCTATATCTCCTTACTAGAGTTGCTTATGATTTATATACTGACTTCCTCTTTGCAGCCTTCCCTGAATAACAGAGACTTTAAACTTACAACATCCCAAACTGTGCTCTTGATTTCCCAACCTGCCCCAAGCCCATACCTCCCATTTACCTGTGCCTGTAGTTTGACTTTCGTTCGTGCTGTCGGTCCTCATAAGGGATACTTCTTTATCTCCAGTTACTGTCTCCTTGTCTTCAGTCCTTAATCTTTCCACTGCAACTTTCATATGGACATTGGCATCCTTTTGAAAATACAGATTCAAAGGATAGCGGGGTATGGTTCAGAGGTACAGTATTTAGTACTTACCTAACATGCATGAGGCCCTGGGTTCAAGTCCTCACTCCATGTAAAAAGAATCAGATTTGGTAATACTACTGTTGTTTAGAAACACCAGCATCTTAGCCATCTAGACTCTTTAATGTGGCCTGCCAGATTCATATTCTGGTCCTACTTATTTCTGCAGTTTAACTCTTGATCCCTTTATTAAACATTTGCCCTGAGAAATTAGTAATTATTTCTGCAGTTTAACTCTTGATCCCTTTATTAAACATTTGCCCTGAGAAATTAGTAATTCCCTATAAGATTCTTGAAGGCAGGGCCTCCTATTTCTTTCTAACCATACTTGATAGGAACTCAAATTGGAGTTGAGGAGAGCAAAGTGGTTAATTTTAATTTTGCTTCTGGGTAGGAAAGAACAGTTGATATAACTTAGCCTACAGTTATTTCATGGTAAGTATTTTGGAGTTTTTATTTTGTGGTGCTGGTAATTGAACCCAAGTCTTTGTGCATGCTAAGCAAGCGCTGTACCATTGAGCTACCCTAATCTTTGTGAAAAGTATTCGATGGAAGTTAAGAGTTGTAGTATTAAAAAACACAGAAAGTAACATGAGTTAACTAAAATACTTTCTCTGTAGAGAATCAGATATCACCAAGGAGAGAATTCAGAAGATCCTGGCAACTGGTGCCAACGTTATTCTAACCACTGGTGGAATTGATGATATGTGTCTGAAGTACTTTGTGGAGGCTGGCGCCATGGCAGTTAGAAGAGTTTTGAAAAGGGATCTTAAGCGTATTGCTAAAGCTTCTGGAGGTACTACAACTGCAAGGTCTTGAATAAAAAAAACTTGTGTTGATATGCATTCCCTGGCACAAGCCTTACATTGGAGTACTGGCACTGAGCAGCTTCAAAAACACTCAGCACTATCCACAATAAATATAGACCTATTTTTCATGAACTGGAAAAGTTCTTTAGTTTGTTGGGAATTCATGAACTGATTTTATTCACTTCAAAATGATATAGTTTCATATTAGTATAAAATATAACTGTTAATTAGCTATAAACCTTTAATTTGTAATGCATCACTTTTATCATAAATGTTTCTTTATTTAAGACTTTAATATCGTGGGAAACAATATTTAGAGATCTTTTTAACTCCTATAGCAACTATTCTGTCAACCCTGGCCAATTTGGAAGGTGAAGAAACTTTTGAAGCTACAATGTTGGGACAAGCAGAAGAAGTGGTCCAGGAGAGAATTTGTGATGATGAATTGATCTTAATCAAAAAGTAAGAGCTACTTTCCAAATTAAAGCTATACAAATTTCATTGAGTAAAAAATTTCCTTCCCATTTATTTGCTGCTGTAGTCTCTCAGTGATATAAGCAGTTATACGCATGGGATAAAACAATATTGGGCCATTGTAAATTGAGGTGAAGTTACTTTCATCTCTTCTGCATGGTCTAGACAGTGTTTTATATATATTTTTTTGTTTGTTTGTTTTACGTGTGGTGCTGAGGATTGAACTCACAGCCTTGCACGTGCTAGACAAGTGCTCTACCACTGAGCCACAACCCCAGCCCTCTTTTTTCACTTTTTACAATGCTGGGGATTTAACCCCAATTCCTTGAGCTTGCTAGACAAATGTGGTAGAGCTATCACAGAGCTACATCCCAGCCCTAGACATTCTTTTTGTACAGTATTCGTAAATGTTCTTTTTTAACAGCTTTACTTTTTGTTCTTATTAGTACTAAGGCACGAACATCTGCATCGATTATTTTACGTGGGGCAAATGATTTCATGTGTGATGAGATGGAGCGCTCTTTACATGATGCTCTTTGTGTGGTGAAAAGAGTTTTGGAGTCGAAATCTGTCGTTCCTGGTGGGGGTGCTGTAGAAGCAGCCCTTTCCATATACCTTGAAAACTATGCAACCAGCATGGTAAGAGTTGATTTTCAAGAGGGGCTATAATTGGCATTTTGTTAACATGCTTTGTCTGGGATCTTAATTGCTGCTGTGAACCTTAGGATTTTCCTTTTTGAAAAGAACCTAATTATCTTTTCCTTTTAGGGCTCTCGGGAACAGCTTGCTATTGCAGAGTTTGCAAGATCTCTTCTTGTTATTCCTAATACACTGGCAGTTAATGCTGCCCAAGACTCCATAGATCTGGTTGCAAAGTTAAGAGCTTTTCATAATGAGGCTCAAGTTAATCCAGAACGGAAAAATCTAAAATGGTAAGCATATAGTTTTTCTCCTTTTCACAGTGATCATCATGAGAACATTGTAAGGTATAGGCAATAGTAATCATCTTCTAGGAAGGACCAATGTTTATATTTGGGCTTTCATTGACCAAAATGTTATCATGCAACACATAACGTGTTTTAGATGTCTGGGAACAGGGTTTCTTCCTTTTTGTATTGCACAGTGCTGTGTTTGTTAAGTGTAACCATAAAGCCAGTATTTCTCAAGATTAATATTTGAATGGAATAATTGGAATTAACAGGCCACCTAAGCAACCTGTGGGAAATCATTTAATCAGCTATTTCACCTTAATTGTAGGATTGGTCTTGATTTGATCAATGGTAAACCTCGAGACAACAAGCAAGCGGGAGTGTTTGAACCAACCGTAGTTAAAGTGAAGAGCTTGAAATTTGCAACAGAAGCAGCAATTACCATTCTTCGGATTGATGACCTTATTAAATTACACCCAGAAAGTAAAGATGATAAGCATGGAGGTTATGAAGATGCTGTTCACTCTGGAGCCCTTGATGACTGATCTGAATCTCCCTTTTATTTATAACAATGTTAAATGCAATGTCTTGTACCTTGAGTATTATACATTAAAGTACAGCATGCTATCAACTTTTGTTTTGATACCTTACTTTGGTATCACAAACTATATTAGTTTAAAAAGTTCAGGTTGCTTTAAACAGTGTGGTTGTTAAGTATTTCATCCTCTCTGAACACACATTGCTATTCCCATCCCACCGCCCACACACAGGGCAGCAACACCACGGGTTCCACCAGTTCTCTCCAATGTGTGTAACAGCGTCACAAGAATTCTACAGCCAGATGCTCCAAGAGGATGGCCCAAGGCGATGGCCCCTCCCTCAATGTTGACCTAAGAAGAAAAAGATTTTTCTTAGATCCCTTGATCTCCAGATAGAGGTTAAAATCCCAAATATATCTTTGTCCACTTAAGTGTCAAACCTTTCAAGCTCAATTTTCATCATGACTGCTTAGAAATAAAATCATAACCTTTGATATGCAGTGGTGACAACCTTTGTTATTTTTTAAAATATTTTTTGATGGACCTTTATTTGTATGTGGTGCTGAGAATGTAACTCAGTGCCTCACGCATGCTAAGCAAGTGCCTTACCACTGAGCCATAACCACAGTCCCCCTTTGTTATTTTGTAATTATCTTATAAAGCTCATTTAACTTCCAAACTAATATAGTCATGTTTTGCAAGGCAAAAAAAAAAAAAAAAAATCTGTTAACGAGTCCCAATATCATCCACTGCCAAGCGGACAACCCTAAAAATATCTGATTTCATATTTTCATTGTACTGATTTTTCTTTTTATTTACCTTCTCTGGGTTTAATCCAAGTTCTTTAACTATTGCAACAGAGAGAGCTGCAAAGGCTTCATTAATTTCAAACACATCAACATCTTCCAGGGACCAGCCTGCTTTTGCAACCTAAAGAAAGATAAATGGGATATAGGTCTGGTTGAAAGGCTTAAAGTTAAACCTTGTTGACTTACAAAGATAATGTTCCACATTTAAGGATCTCTCAAACTACCACTATGTGGTGTTCCTAGATCAGCCCAATGATTTAGTTCTATCCAAAAGGTTAAGGGTGTGCTGTTTAAAAACATCCCTCAAAAATTCCAAATTCATAAATATTGAACCAGTAGCATCAGTAATGTCCATGTAAGGACATTAGAAAAGAGCCGAATGCTGCTCTTCATGGTAAGAAACAACTCAAAGCTACCAATAAGGACTTGTGTTTTACAAAGGGAAAGAGCAGATGAAACCTGACAAAACCAAGCACAATCCTGGCATCCCAAGTAGTAGGAAGACTAAGCAGAAATTAGAAGTGAAGTGAACTGAATACAGGAACACAGATTATTGGTCTAAAGAGTTCTGACCTAGAGTGGAGGATGAGATCTAAAGTTACACTTACAGCTTGCTTTATGGCTGGAATAGGTCCTATTCCCATGATGGAAGGTTCCACACCTGCTTGTGACCAAGAAACAATCTCTGCTAAAGGTGAAAGCCCACGATTGTTAGCTTCTGACTTCTTCATGAGAACCACAGCTGCTGCACCATCATTTATTCCTATAAAATGTAAGCGACTTGATTTCCATGATGCTCATTAATTTTACTTAAAAGAATTTCACTTTTCCATTTGAAGACATTAAATTACTTGGCCATCTTGGCAAAGCCATTTGCCACAATTCAGACTTTATAGTGTAGAAAAGCCATTTGGGGCTAGGAATGTGGCTCAGTGGTAGAGCATTTGTGAAACACGCATGGGGCCCTGGGTTTGAGCCCCAACACTAAAAAAAAGTGAATCGGTATGTTTGACCCTGCATGGTGGCATGTGCCTGTGATTCCAACCATAAGAGGCTGAGGCAGGAGGATCACAACTTAAAGGCCAGCCTGAGCAACTTTGCGAGACCTTGTCAAAAAAAAAAAAAAACAACAACAAAAAAAACATTGTGGATGCAGCTTTGGTAAAGTGCCTTGGTTCAGTTACCATACTGGGAAATAGAAAGAATGGAGAGGTTATAGCAGTGGAGTAGTAGAGACTTAGGAAGTCTCTACTGGAATAAATATACTCAGGAATCACAGAAGGGTACTAGGAATTTCTGTATTAGAAAAGCATAAAGGCAGCTGTACTGTATTTTTTTCTTTTCTTTTTTTTTAGAGAATTTTTAATATTTATTTTTTAGTTTTCGGCAGACACAACATCTTTGTATGTGGTGCTGAGGATCGAACCCGGGCCGCAAGCATGCCAGGCGAGCGCGCTACCACTTGGGCCACATCCCCAGTCTGGTACTGTATTTTCTATGTCTAGTTGGACTACCAAGAAATCAAATTCAATATAGGTTAATGATCAAATAGAATTCTTCCTTAAACTAAAATGAATTTTAAGAACCATTTTGTGTATAAAAAGGTATTCACTTCACTTGTTAGACCTTGCAGAAAATATATCTCCCCAGATACCCATCAAAAATTGAACCTGAAGCATTAGCTGGGGTGACGGTTCCTGTTCCATCCGTAACAAAGTGGGGCTTTAGCTTGGACATGGCTTCAAGGTTACTCCCATGGCGAGGAAACTCATCTGTTTTAACTTCAGTGAGACCTACAAGAAGAGAAGCCAAGATTTAGATTGAGTGTCCTGGGAATAATAGGTTTCCCAGAAATGAGGATTCATATTTGGCAGAAAGATTGTTAATATATACCCACTCATTCCAGTAGAAGAAAAGTACAATTACTATATGTTCCAAATCCGTAACCTTTCCTGAGGGAGATGTAAAAGCAAAAGGTGCTAGAGTTTGCATCATAGCACTTTTGGCTGGTTAAAACTGAGTGAATCAGGAAGTCTTACAGCCAATCTCAAGATTGCCTGGAGGTGAGATGTCAGTTATCAATGAAGGAACTTGATTGAAGCATTCTGTGTTAGACAATGACATGTGACCATGCTCTAGAAGATCTATTCTCTAGAATATGAGTCACACACAGAAGCAACAGGAATTAATGGATGTTGACTTCTGAGAAGGTTTAGTTTAGCTTATATGGGAAATAGGTCAACTGTTGCCCCTTAATAATCACAAGCCAATGGCTGATAACAGTTTTCTATGTTACCATGTCCCATAAATACAGCATCTCCTATCCCCTACACTCAGATGTAACCAGGATATATCCTTGCAATCTGAAAAACCTAAGATTAAAATGTATAAAAATTCCTATATATGATTCTTACTATAAATAGGTCAAGGTTTAAATTATGATTTTTATTACCCACCTTTTCTAGAAGATACAAATACTGGTACGATCTCTTTGTCAAAATGGCCAGCTTTCTGTGCATTCTCTGTCCTGTTCTGGGACAGAACTGCAACCTTGTCCTGATCTTCTCGACTCACTTGCCATTTTTTGGCTACATTTTCAGCTGTGGAAAAACAAAGTAAAACCCAACATTTTCATAAACTGGCTTTTGGTAGTTCAAGCTGTCCACACTTAAAGCAGTGCTGACCACACCTACTAGCAGGCTTCCTAGTGGGCTGAGGTGCAATGCTGGGCGTTGTCTGCAATGCCCTGTCCTGGCAGGGATCTGAAAATGCTGCAATGACTCAGGCCATTTTTGCCCCATTTGCTTTAACATTCTCTTTCCAAACCATCTGAGTAAAAGCTGGAGATACACTGTCCTTTCACCCCTGAATTTTAATTTCAGTGTACATGTCCCAAAAACAAGGCCTTTTTTTTTTTTTTAACATAACCACAGTTATAAAAATCAGAAAATTTAATACTACTGTCTAATTCTTGGTCCCTATTCAAATTTAACCTATCATCCTACTAGTCAATAGGAAGATATTTTCTTCTTCAGTACAGAATCCAATGCAGGAGTATGTATTACATCATTTAACTATTCATCTCTAGTATCCTTTAATCTGGAACATTCTTTAGACTACCTTTGTGTTTCATAAACTTGCTCTTCCAGCTCTGAGACTCTTCAGCATGGTCTGCTCTATGAAAAGGACTTTGAACTACACATTTTCTTTTTCCTCTTTAACTGGAAATTTGAATCCAGGGCCTTGTGCATGTTAAATTTGAGGAGCAAGGGCGAGCTATTTTATCAAATGTCCTCAATTTGGGTTGTCTCATGTTTCCTCAAGCTTATATGTGACAATTTTGCTTAAAGGCAGAATACCACCAAATGATGGCATGATCTTTCTGGAATCTTGTCAGGGCATGATATTTCAGGAATCTTGTCAGGACATGAAAGTAATCAATGTATCCCAGGTGATGTCAGATTTGGTCCTTGGTTACAGTGGTATCTGCCAGGTTTCTAACTCTACAGGTATTATTTTTCCATTTATAATTAATCAGTAAGTTATGGGAAGTTGTTCTAAGTCTAGGAAAATATCTTCTTATTAAACTTCTTCATTAGTTTTAGCTTTCATTCATGATTTCTAATTGCAACATTCGTTTGATATGGACTAACTGGTTTTATATGAAAAAGGAGAGTTTGCCTTTACAGACACTACTGAAATTAAAGCCTCAACCCCAGTAAAATAATAGTGGATGATCTCAACACACCTCTCCCATCAGTATATTACTCATCCAAACATAAATGCAGTAAAGATTCTTTGGACCTAAAAAATTTAAATCAAATGGACTTAACAGACATCTATAGAACATTTCATTTGACATCAGCTTAATATACTTTCTTCTTAGCTGCTCATGGAAACATCCAAAATAGAACATATTTGAGGCCACAAAGCAACTCAGCATATACACAGACACACAGAAAAAGATACAAGTCCATGCATCTTATCTGATCATAATAAAATGAAATTAGGAAAAAAAAAAACTAGAAAAACTATTTTAACACATGGAGATTTAACAACACACTTATGAATGATGAATAAGTGATAGAAGAAATTGGGAGAAATTTAAAAATTCTTAGAATCCAATGAGAATTGTGATATAACATACCAGAACCTCTGGGACACTATTAGAATAGTTCTAAGAAGAAAGATAGCTGAGTGTCAAGTCACATAAGAAAATCAGAGAGAACCCAAATAAATCTAATGATGCGTTTGACTCGAGGGTCTTGAAAAAGAACAAACCA